CCCTTCTTCCTGTTCCCTTTTCTCACCGTTTTGTTTTTCTTTTTTTCCAGAACCGTGATGCTCGCATGAGCCTGTGCGCCACTGCGGCGGACCGCCTTGAGAGCTGGACGTGGACCGTGCTTCGCGAGAAGGCGGTGTACCACACCCTCAACACTTTCAAGTGAGATGATGATGATGATGATGATGATGATGATGATGATGATGATGATACGCAATCGTACGTCCTACTTGCTGTACGTCCTCGCACCGCTAGCGAAACCACCCACCAACAATGCATATGGCTGGTATTTTAGGTCGCTTTTCTGTCTCCCGGCTCGTCGTTTTTTTTTTTTTTCCTTCGTGGAACCTTGGATTACCTCCCCCCCCGCACACATTGCCTGCTATTCGAGGTATGCGCATGGTGTTTGTTGTGGGATGGGTTGTTCGTTTAGTTTCTTTCCAAGCACCTTCTTTTTTGGTGAAGCCACGCTCTCCGTTCTGTGGGAGGAACTCGAGGGACATGAACCTCCCGGCACTGCCAACACCTCACCAACCACACCAATCAATAGCTATAACAGCGACCATTGCAACAATGCGCTCACACCTTGTACCAAGTACAACGATCTGGTTGCGAAATGTAGTCCCCCGGTTTGGGTGTGAACGTTTTACATACACAGATCAAACGGCGTCAGCGTGTCTGTTGAAGATACTGTACCGCTCTCTTTCGTCTGATATGTTTCTGCTGAACATGAACGTAAGGTTGCCGTTCCCATCTTTCGTCTGATATGTTTGTGCTGAACATGAACGTAAGGTTGCTGTTCCCATCGTTCGTCTGACATGTTTCTGCTGAACAGCAACGTAAGGTTGCCGTTCCCATCTTTCGTCCGACATGTTTCTGCTGAACATGAACATGAACATGAACGTGAACACGACGTCGTCTTGCTTTCCAGACCGGACGTTCGCGGCATCCTGCGAGGGGAGGGCTGGGTGGTGCAGGAGGGCATGGGGGGCGTGCAGATGGCCGTCAACAGGGCCCACGCAGAGATGGACACGGGCATGCCGTCCATGGTGGAGGTGATGCCCAAGCCGTGGCCCACCCCGCCCACGTACTTCAAGCTCAACGCCTTCACCATTGCTTTCCAGGTGCCCATGACCCTCGTACTGCTGTGTTTTCAAGGATTGCTATGGAGGCCGGAAGTCCCCCCTATAGCAGTCAAGTGGAGTACGCCCACCCCTTACCTTCCTCGCACGTGCGTACTGTTAGCTAAGTAAGCACCCGATATTCAAGATGGGACTCTTGAAATCACAGGTTATGTGATGGGATAAGCCAGTCCAAACTTTTTTTTTTTTTTGCGAGGCAAGGTTTATCTAGTATTGAGCGTCGATTCAGACACACACACCCGAAACAAGAAATGAGAGACAAGATTTAATCTAGAGCTAAACGATGATTCAGAAATAATCGAAAAAACGTCAACAACAAATGAGCGACAAGATCATATCTGGAGTTGAACAATGCTTCAGAAACATCAAACGCGAGACAAGATTTTTCTTTTGTTGAAAGTTGACTCTGAAACAACAACGACGACGACGACGACGACAACACCCGGCAGGAATTCGTGGACACGTACGGCGTTCCCCGGTACAAAGAGGCCAACCCCGCCCTCTTCACGGCGGCGTCCTTCCCCTTCCTGTACGGCATAATGTTCGGCGACATCGGGCACGGCACCGTCATCATGTTCCTCGGCCTCTTCCTCGTATTCACGCACGGGAGCGTGGCCGGTCGCAGGGACTTGGGCGAGCTTGCTGGTGGACTGTAAGTGCACCCACTTATTTATTTATTCATTCAAAACCCCAAAAATCAACCTCTACCCATATATAAATAAGGGTCGAGGATCGGTATTTAACGAGTTCATAGCGTTAGCGGAGCATTACATTTAGCTGTGTTTATACGACTTCCCAAGCAGCATACCTGGTACAGCGATATCTCCCCCGTGGGTAACAGTTTTTGGTAGATTGTGTAAAGACTGCTGTAAACAGAATTGTCAACAACAACAAATGGTTTGTTGAGGTTCGCTGGGCTCTTCGACCCAAAAGCACGTCAGCTGTACAAATCGACCAAGCCCGGCAAACATCAAACGAGTCCCCCTCCCCCCTCCTACCCACCCCTACCTACAGCTATCTCGCACGGTACATGATAACGATGATGGGCTTCTTCAGCGTGTACGCCGGCCTGATCTACAACGACTTCTTCTCGCTGCCGCTTAACCTGTTCGGATCGTCTTGGGTCTGGTCCGATGGAGTTGACACGGTGAGCGGAAGGGGAAATTGATAAGAGTGAGAGGCGCGAAGACATAAAAACGCGTTATTTCTTGTCTCCCCGCCGGGGGGCGGGGGGGACCGCGTTGGCCTGTACGTTGGGAGCTTTGTGACTCGACACTGCCTTGGCGACTTTTCTTTTTCAGGCGCCCGTCGCCCTCGTTTATTCAACTGCTGAGTACGTCCGGTAGGCTTACCTTGTGTTCTCTTTTCTCACGCCATCCTCCCCGCCCCCCCACGTCGTCTCCTCCTGTTTGTGCTGCCTTGCGTTCGTTCATCTTATACGACGAACCCACGTGTCCTACCCTATCTTGGTACCCATCCTTCAATGTTTTTTGCGTGCCTCGTGTGTGTCTTGGTGTCCTTTCTGCCTTCGCTGTTGGTCCCTATTCAGCGAGGAGCACCGACTCTACCGTACCCTACCGTACCCAACCCTACCCTACCCTACCCCGGCTCTCTCTTGGCGGTATGCTTCACTATAATAACTAGCTACCATGTCTTCCACACTGTCCTCCGTACTATAACTACATCATGTCTTCCACTACTGTCTTCCACTACTGTAACCATGTCCTCGTATCGTCCCTCGCGTCCGACTCTGTGTCGCCATGCCCAATGTTCGCATTTTTTGCGTCGTGTCCATACCAATGTCGCGTATCGGTAGGAGGAGGGCGAGGAGGCGGAGAACGTGAGCTTCTACGGTGATGCCGACGCCGTGTACCCCTTCGGCGTCGACCCCGCTTGGCACATCGCCGGAAACGAGGTAAGACATGGACAATATGTGAAATGTACCACGGTATACCACGGTATATTATTTTCTTCCCATTTGTTCTGGCCATCGGTCCTTACACCTAGGTGTACAATCCTGGACGAGGTCATATATAACAAGAGCAACACATATCCCGCTCTACGTGCCGCTACATGCAACATCTTCCATTCGCCGTTGCTGATATTTAGTCGAGATGTGCCGCGTATCGTGAAAAATGCGCAGCGTTTGTCAAAGTGCCGCCCACCTCCGCGGTGGTTGTATGCGGCGTGACGTATGCTATGAAAGTTTGCGGTGTACCATATTTTCTAGACGAGCGCTCCCCTGTTGCGTGGTTTGTCTTGTGGCTGCTGTTTCCGTTTTGACATCGACCGTGTCTCCTACCCCGACTTGACAGCTTGTGTGTTTGTCTTTTTGCTCCCTTTTTTTTTTTGTTCGCAGCTGCTCTTCTTCAACTCGATGAAGATGAAGACCTCGGTGATCCTGGGCGTGACCCAAATGACGTTCGGTGTCGTGCTCAAGGCGATGAACGCGCTGTACTTCAAGGAGTCCCTCGACTTTTTCTACGAATTCATCCCCATGATCATCTTCGTCCTGTCTCTCTTCGGGTACGCCTTGTGATTTGTTTTTTCATGAGCCTTGTATCCTCCCCCCCTCCTGCATCGTCGGTGTTTGCCATCGGCGTTGGGTTTTCGTCGCTTGGCAACGACGTTGTAAACCAAGCCAATTCACTTCGTGAACACGGCAACCAGGTTACCGTTTTTGTTTTTTTTACCTCTTTTTTTTGGCGGTAACCATGAATGGTGGTCGAGTAGATCATGTTGTGCGAAGCCTCACTCCGCGCAAGGGGGATGATCGCACCACGTTGTGTTAAAATGGTCAAGCGCCCTCGAGGCAGTTACACAGTGCTTACATCTATCTCTGGAAGTGAACGCACCAAAAACGACAGCGCACGCAAGGAAGTAAGCACAAGATGCCGAACACCCTTAGCAGGATGCAGCGCACCCTTCATGCGACTCGCCGAATACCTCACGGCGCTTCGCGCTTGGTGATGTGAGAGCCTGGTCCGGTGAGAACCCGGCGTGCTCCGTCCCGGCTTTGTAGGGATGCGAGGTCAATGGTCTAACGACTACGGCATGCACGACTATGAGTCCACCCCCCCCCCCCCGGTGTTTGCCTATCGGGATTGGGTTTTCGTCGCTTGGCAACGACGTTGTAAACCAAGCCAATTCACTTCGTGAACACGGCAACCAGGTTACCGTTTTTGTTTTTTTCCTCCGTTTATTTTTTTTGGGCGGTAACCATAATGATGGTTGAGTAGATCATGTTGTGCGGGGTGAACCCTCACTCCGCGCAAGGGGGATGATCGCACCACGTTGTGTTAAAATGGTCAAGCACCCTCGAGGCAGTTACACAGTGCTTACAACTGTCTCTGGAAGTGAAAGCACCAGAAAATAAATTAATTCATACGCAGCTGTCATCCGTACGCAAGGAAGTAAGCACAAGATGCCGAACACCCTTAGCAGGATGCAGCGCACCCTTCATGCGACTCGCCGAATATCTCACGGCGCTTCGCGCTTGGTGATGTGAGAGCCTGGTCCGGTGAGAACCCGGCGTGCTCCGTCCCGGCTTTGTAGGGATGCGAGGTCAATGGTCTAACGACTACGGCATGCACGACTATGAGTACACACACACGCCCCAGTTTAGTTTTGGTTGTCTTGTGTTTTCAATTCCATTTTTGGCGTCCTTCTCCTTTACTTATCTGTTCGTTAGGCAGGTGTTGTCCGTGTCTGTGTGTGTTGTTTTTTTTTTCTTGAGATTGTAGCGGCTGTTGATGGACAATATGCGGCAAAGCTGATTGTTGCCTATGGCGATAAATAGTGGTGATGGTGTTGTGTTGCTGAACGTCTTGTTTGTTATTTCAGGCGCTACAGTAGTTTGTCCCCTTGACCCTTCACCCCTCCGCCTCTCCACTAAGTCCTCATTGATGTGCCAGATCGCATGAGACGGAGTATGGTTGTTCCCCATCACAACGCTATTTCCATACATTCTTCCACGAACGGTGCCTTTTTTTTCCCAACGCGACTGAAACCCTGTAATATACTAAAAATGAGCAGGTACATGATCCTCTTGATCTTCATGAAGTGGTCCATCGACTGGGACTACCGCATGTTCACCGCCACGTGCTTCGACGGGCTCACGCCTCAGAACGTGACGTGCGACTCCGATAGCACCACCGCCGACATGTGCCCCCTGGACTATGGGGGAAGCGGCGATGGTTGTCAGCCGCCCAACCTCATCACGAGCCTCATCAACATCGCGCTGTCGCCGGGTGTTGTCGACGAGCCCATGTACGCGGGGCAGACCAGTGTTCAGGTATGCATGTACCGTATGTTCAAGACCTCTGTCCGGAGTGGGTGTATATCCCGCACCTTCGGCGGCTGTTGTCTGATGTCATCGCCGATGAGCCCGGATTGTAATGTGCACATGCCTACATGTAGGGGAAGAGGAGTACATGTACTATTAGGAAGGAAAACGTACATCTTGCAAGTCATGCAAATATTTTCCCCAGTGCCTTGGGGCCTCACCGGATCCAAAGGTGGTCGATCATAGTTGTGGTTGTGTTTTTCGTCGGATTGACTCTGGCTCATTGGGGAAGTGCGAATCATCCGTTTCGACAAGCTCATTCCGGCCGGTGCGGTTCGTTGTTCACGACGCCTTTCGTTTTTTCGCTGTTCCTTTTTTCTCTCAATATCCGGTTTGATTCGATTCGATTTCCTTGCCGGCGTCGTTGGCCGTTGTTCCGGGTTGTTTGTCTCTCCACTTTATGATATCGTGTCGCGTCGCGTCGTCTGGTGCTCGCGCTTTGCTTTCTTTCACCTCCCCGTCTCTCAGCGATCTCCCATTACAGTGCAAAAAAAAATGTGCAACCTCCTGGCATATCTTCTTTTTTTGTTGATCCCGTCCGTTCAAGATCGCACGAAGTCGTCCCGACATAGTTGCCAGATGTCACCGCAGAAAATGCGCCACTCTGATTTCGGTACACACGGCCCGCACGCACGCACCAAGCGCTCCATGATTTTCCTCGTACACCTTCGCTTCCTCCGCCAATTTCTGTCGTGTCCCTTATGTTTTTCCTAGACAATTCTCCTTCTCCTAGCCTTGGGGTCCATCCCCGTTCTCCTCCTGGCCAAGCCCCTGACGATCCGCAGCCGCATGAAGAAGGCCGCCGCCAGGCACGACAGCTTCAGCTCCGAGAGCCAGCTCATGGCCGGGGAGCACAAGTCGTCGGACAAGGTTGAAAACGGCGGGCACGGCGCCGCGGGGGGGGATAGCGGCGGGCACGAGGAGCACGACTTCTCCGAGATCGTCATCCACCAGGTACATGTGTAAGCGCGAAAGGATTTGTTTCTCAAACGCGTAGATGAGTATTCTTATTTTTTTTTAGGGGGGGGCGATCCCTGGGGGATAACTTACCTTGCGTTTTAAGTGAGATAGTTCCCCTTGTTTGGGAGTAGAGTTTAGGTGGGGTAGGGGGCGACGGACGAGGAGGGTCTGGGCCGGAAGGTTTTGCACTCACACGATGTTTTTCTCCGCGCGCACCACCTTCCATGGAAAACCAAAATCTTGTTCTGAAGGCCATCGAGACGATCGAGTTCGTACTCGGGATGGTCTCGAACACTGCCTCGTACCTCCGGCTGTGGGCGCTGTCGCTGGCGCACACGGAGCTCGCGGCCGTGTTCTGGGAGAAGACGATGCTCACCACTATCCAGATGGGCAACGCGTTCGCCATCTTCATCGGCTTCGCGATGTTCGCCGGGGTTACCTTTGGCGTCATCCTGTGCATGGACGTGCTGGAGTGCTTCCTGCACGCCCTCCGGCTGCACTGGGTGGAGTTCCAGACCAAGTTCTACAAGGCGGACGGGTGAGAAAGTTGGATTTTTTTTTTTGCTTGTTCTTGGAACCTAGTTCGCTCCCCTGTCGTGTTTGCGGGGATGTTCGGGATCGATTCGACGTGAGAGCCTGCCTGTCTTTATTTCGTGTTTCATTTTGGAAGCGACTGCCGTCGGCGTGCTCAAACTGAGCCCCAAATGTGATGTGCTAGTGTATTGGCTATAGTTGAATGCGTAGACGGGTGATTGCCGCTTGGGGCGTCACCCCTTGCATCCTGACCGGTAGATTAGGAGGGACTGTTGACTATATTGCTTTGCCATGTTGGGTTTCTTGATCAGGGCGAGGTGTCACTTAGGTAGGTGGATCCTGTTGTTACGATGTAAAGTGAGCAAGTATTTTTTTCGATGCGTGTACGGTGGTTCTGCATGTGGCAATATATCGTTTGTACTCGGCACGTGCGGCAGGTCCAGACGCCGCTAGTGGTACCTGGGGTCGACGAGTTCACTGGGCGTCTATTCGTTTGTTTGTGGTTCGCCGGCTGTCTTTCCCTCTCTGTCTTTGTGCGTCCGTGACCCCTGTGGGAACATTTTTCGTATCCTCTCTCTCTCTCCCTCCCGCCCTCTCTGTCTCTATCTTTCTGTGTCTGTCTGTCTGTCTGTCTGTCTGTCTGTCTGTCTGTCTGTCTGTCTGTCTGTCGGTCTGTCGGTCTGTCGGTCTGTCTGTCTGTCTGTCGGTCTGTCGGTCTGTCGGTCTGTCGGTCTGTCGGTCTGTCGGTCTGTCGGTCTGTCTCTAAATCTGTCTGTTACTCTGTCTCTCTCTGCCTGTCTCTCCATGTCTTGTCTATCTTGTCGCCGTCGCCTTGCTGGTCACACACGTAACCCTGACTTGCTTACGCCCGTCGCGAACCCGCCCTCTGTTTCGCCTGTTCCTCGCGGCCCACGTGATTGTCCAAACCAACACAACACGCAGGTACAAGTTCGCTCCATTCTCCATTGCTGCTATTGTGAAGGAAGCGCCTGTCATGTAGTTCAGCCAGTAGCCACACACGCCGTGTTGTCTTGTGTTCCCGATCGTGAGATAAAAGAATAATGGGGGGGTGGGGGTCGTGGACAGAGTCTGGTGGGAGGATAGTGTAACATACGTAGCTTTGGAGAGCGGAGAGAAGTTGTAGGAGGAGGACGAACGCCCACCTTGTACTAGTTGTAAAAGGGGTGTAGGGGGAGAAAGACGACGACCAGCAGCAGAAGGACGAGGGGAGTCAAGATGGAGGAGATACGCTGCCTGCTTGTTGGCGAGAACGAGTCCTGGTGTGTACACACGGCGGGCGCGAGGATGCAATCTGGGAGGTGGCGCAGCACCCCGCTTGCGCGGGCCTTGTTTTGTTGCGCCCCCGAACCAGAAGTTCGCGGAGGGCGGCCAAGAACGGAGCCCTGTCGCTTGGTGTCTTTCTCGTTTACTGCTGAGGCATGACAAGAACTGCCGCTTGTGCTGGAGACTTTGGACGCGGGGTGGAATGACGAGGATAGTTTGTGTGTCGTATGCATAGGCTTTGATATGGCCCCCAAGAAGTACGCGGTTCCTCTTTTTTGCACGATTCTGCTTCTCTAGTTTGGGGATGTGGGGAGCGGTTTCTGCGAGATTTCCCCATTTTTTTGACGCTCGGAGCGCTTTCATGTGTTTCGACCGCTAGCGGAGTTGTTGTTCCAGTTGTTGTTCCCTGGGCAACTAATTGCTATGTTGTAACGCAAAGGAGGAATGGCGACGATTTTTGTTATTTCGTCCATCTTTGGGAGGAACTGTCGGTGCCTTCCATCAATTTCGTGGAAGCTTTGCTCCGTAGACTAGTCTACATTTGATCTAGTCTACCATCTGACTTATAGAGTTCCAAGGTGACAGGGGTTGGCAAGCACCTAAATCTGTCCAGTCGTAAATGTCCACCCTTGTCCATGTTTCGACATGGTGCTCTTGTACCTCTCTTTGGCCGGACCGCGGTACTCTGTTGTTGTACGATGCGGGGAGTTGTACACTACCCTACCGCTTTCGCTAAAACGGAATCTCGCGAAACACGTGGGACAGCAAACGAATCAAACACGGTTCAATTCTCTCGCACATGATCACGTGTTCAAAAGGAAGGGCACAGAGAACATTTTTCTTGGAAGAAACAAATCAAAGAAGCCCAGTTTCCAGCCGGTTTCCCTCTACTGACTGTAGAGACTTCAACACACATCCCTTTCGACTGGAGTTATGTCTCGAACGAACACGGGTGAGGTCTTTCCCTCTGGTATTGCTTACTCTCAGAACATCAAACTTCATGTCCTAGGATACAAGCCAATCCATTGAAGTCCAGGATTGAATTCGAGATGGATGGGTTCAAAGGGCAATATGGCCCGTGGTACTACCACCACAGGCAGCACAGCCTACCAATCTACCAGTGCATACATGCATACATAGGCCTGTCCTCCATCGGCCGTTTTATTTTCGATTTAGATACACAAACTTTATTTCCATACTAATTTCAAGTAATTCCACCTTCTTATTCTCCGTCATACAAGCAAAACGGCCGATGGAGGACAGGCCTATTTTGCATACAGCAGTAGTTCGGAGAAAAATGCGGGGCAATGCGGCGTAAAATGTTCCGTTTCGTCGCTCGCAACCTGTGCGGCGTAATGGCGTAATATTCGTAGATCCGATTCATATGCTTTATGCTTCATTCACCCAGCATCCCGCGCCTCAGCGCTCGTTATAGAGTACACTGGTATGCATGAGCATACTGAGCATATTCGCGATGTTTTTGCCGCATTTGTGTCGGCGGCGCCCTAACCTGACCCTCTCATTGGACACCTGGCCGAAGTCCCTCCTTCATTGAGCGGTAGCCTAGATGAAGACGTGCAGCGCTTACCAACGGGACCGATGCGTCGCTGCGGAGATGGAGGCGTGCTGGGCGCCGACTAGTTCGAAAGCATCTCTGCCTGGATACAAGCCTGAGAGCGACCCGTTCTGCCCCCTTGTACGTGCTGCATCGAACGTGTACGATACCTTGGTGTTTTGTAAAACACCGACAGTTTTGTTGCAGCATGTGCTCCGGAACATAAGAGATTGCAGTTG